AAAAAAACAATCTTTTTTTTTTTGTTTTTTTGCAGATTGGTGATTACTTTTTTCAATCAATGCTTAAAAAAATATCGGCTATGGGATTTAATATACAAGATAAAAATGGAAATATTTATATTGGTTCAGTGTTTCCTGGGTCTCCAGCTGAACGTGCAGGGAACATTTTTGCAGGTAACTATCAAACAGAAAAACAAAAACAAAACTTAAACTTTTTCAATTACAGTAAAGTATATGTTAAAAATCAGAAGAACTATAAATTATTTGCTGAATTTTAGGTGATAAAATAAAGTCGTTAAATATTTCATTTGAAGGAATGCTGCTTGAAGATGCTACAGCAATTTTGGGACATGCTTCACCATATAAAGTAACTGTGCCAATGACTTTTATATTGATTAAATTTTATCGACTATTTTAAAAACAAAAAATTAAATCATTTTTTATAAACATTCACTTTTTTTTTATTTATTGATTTTAATGATTGTAAGTGTTATGAAATATTGGTGGCAACAACGCAGTAACTGAAAGTTTTTAAAAAAAAACACTAAAATACGATTTGATTTAAGGTTAAGTTAGAACTTGAAAGACATATACCCGAACAGCCGACAACCACAGCTGTTGATACAAATACTTCAGAAGTATCAACTGAAAGCGAGGACAATGAAGGATCTGTTAATAGTGATGTTGCTCGTAGTTTGTGCAATGAGGCTTCTGATTCTACGCTTCCGGCATCATCAATCAGCACTGCTGTTGAACAGGAAGTTAATAGCCCTTCTAAACTTGTAAATTCAACCGAATCATTAAGGTATATTTTTGTGTCATTCATTAAGGTGTGCTTACCTTATATTTATAAATATCTTTTGAATTAAATGGTGCTGTCAATCTGTTTAGTAATGAGCAATATTTTGTTTAGTAGATACTCACGTCAAAAGTTAATGATGTAACGTATTCTACGCTTATCAGTATACAGCATTCTGGTGGTCAATAAGACATCAAAACTTTCCTTGCAACGAAATATCGCTACTGTATTTGAATGCAACTTTATTCTTATTTCAGCACAAAACCATGCTATACAAGTACCAGCGAGACAGTTACTGATGATCAGAAGACAACTGATGAAGAACGTGTAACCGTAGCTCCAGCTACATCTACAACGCCAGAAGAAACGCTAGAATCATTGGCGTCTATATCAACAGCACCAGCACTGCCGATAGCAATATCTCCAGTAACGGTACCTACAACAAGTTCACCAAAGGTTAATCGATCTGAAAATTCGCCGACACTAAGCGGTTCACCAAAATCTACAGCTAGAGTACAATCATCAGAAATTTCGTCAGCTAACAGTTCACCTAATGCTGCACCGCGATCTGCGATACCACGCCGTCCACAACCTTCACGAATACCGAAGTTGAGTCCGGAGGCTCCGGTTGTTGTTAAAGAGGTCAAATGCAATGGCATTTCTGAGTTTATTGAAGTAAGTTTTTTCCCAATGCTTTGAGACTTTATTTTTTTCCTCTTTCAGACTAAGTATATGTCAGTCACCAATTCGTATTTCTGCGTGAAAGAAAAAAGAAAAAGTAGGGAGAACGTTTAGATTAAAAAACTTTCTTTCAATTTAATCTTATACTTTTTTTTTTATTTTATAAAAGTTCCTTTTTCTGTTATTCCTCCTATTTTTGTTTTACAGTTTTGCAGCTGTTGGGTTTGCAGTGGTAATGTACAAAATTCAAAAAACAAACTTTTCGTCATTTCGCCTTCAACAAAGTTTTTCTGCTTTTTTTTTCTTTGAAAAAACTTTATAAGTGTTTAATTGAATTAAGCCAATAACTCAATTGCTTAAAATACTTTACAGTTTTTTTTGCTTCACAATGTATTTTTAGTGTGAAAATGAGTTATTCAGCAACAAATTTTATCCTATCAAGCAACAGCAACAGCAGCAGCAGCAGCAGCACTAATATTTTAGAAAAACATCTCAACTTTAGTCTAATACAGCCCAAAATACCCTACAACAGTTTCACTGTCATCTTTGCGGAAATCTTTTTTACTTTTTTTCTAGAGGGAAAGAAAAATTTGTTAAATTTATGGGACAAAAGAGCTGGCTTTTTCTTTCATACTTTAAAACCGTCAATAGATAATTTTAGCTGAAATTTCGAGAAGAAAGACTATTTTGTTGTGGCAATTTTTTCTTCTTCAATTTACTGTTGCTACTGTTGCAAATTAAAGTATAAGAAAAAAATTTTTAAGAGATGAGGAAAAGAGGGGAGAAGGGAGAAGTGAAGAAGAGGATAGAGGCCACAGAAATGCGTTATAACCTTTAAAAATCAATTTAACATTTTCGTATTCAGCTTCTTTAGTTTTAAGCCAAAAAAAAGGTTCTATTTTTTCTTCTGTAAACTTAGATGCAAAATTTCCAGATCTTTGATGTGTATTTTGTCTGCGGTATCTATAGATGTGTATTTTGTATGTTTGGTTATTCGGTTGTCTTATAATAAACCACTGTGAACATTTGGTGTAATCTAAAAATTTGTAGCTTCAAAAAAAAAGAGAAAAAAGCGAATTTTAATTTTTCTTTTTGTCTAACATTTGCGTTAACAGATCAGTGTTCCTTCTGTCTTTTTTTTCCCATTATTTTTCCTTCTATCTATTGTTGTTTCTTCTTCTTCTTTATCTTCTCTTTACTTCTTTTCAACCTCTTCGTCTTTTTCTTCTTCTTCTTCTTTAATTTCTTCTTGATCATCACTGTTATCGTTTGATCACAGCTTAAACTGAATACGTAAAATTTCAGATGTTTTTTTTTCAAAGCAAAGAAAAAAAGTTGTATACTCTGTGATAATCGTTACATTGTCGGTAAGTTTTTCAGCAGAACAATGATTTTTTGTTTTCAGGTGTCTAAATATAATTATAATGAAACCAGTGTTTCCAAGAAACGAAACGGTAATGCAGCTGAATACTGTGAATGTATTGAACCGAAGCGGAAATCGGTAGTTGTGGAAATTAATGAAGATGAAGCAACACTCGGTGACAATAATAATCAGCAACAGCAGCAACAACAACAAGAACAGGCTAACAGTAGCCGTGTAGAAAAGTTCGAGTTTCTCAGTTGTTATAGGGATACTGATGAAGAAGTAACAATTAGTGTTCCTCGATCAGAACAACATTTTCCTGAATAGTATAACAGTTTATAATTTTAAGCTTACAACATTTGGTTCTTTCGCTAAGTGGTAACAGTTAGCATTTATGAACTGAGCTACAAAAATTCTTCATCGGTGTTTGTTAATTTTTAATACAACAATTTGTTCAGCAAAAGTTAACAGTATAACAGCTTTGACATCATCAGTCAATGTTTTTCAAAAATTATTATCAGTTGCTATTTGAAAGTTTCAAAAAGTTGAAAAGTACTTTTGAGATAATGTTTGGTACAGGTAGGAAACAGAAATAGCACCGAATGCCAGACGAAGCCTTTGTTGTTCTTTACCGTATCAAGACAGTCCATAAGAGTTGTTACGCAACAATAATATCCTTGTCATTTTTACAACATTTTTACAACAAAAACAACAAAAGAAAGTATAATAGCTAATTAAGAAAAAGAAAAAGCAAA